ATGTCAAACAGGCATCTCGAGCTCAGTATGTCCAACAATGAGCTCCTTATCCTCCTCTAAAACCTATTCCTTCCAGTTTCCCCTGCCTTAGCCAATGGCAATCCATCCTTCCATGGGCTTAAGGTCAAACTCTTGTAGTCATCCTTAGTGTCTTTCTCTCACATTCCATAAGCAAATTCTCCAAAATATACACAGAACTTGACCACTTCTCACCATTTCCACCACTGCCACTCTGGTCCAAGGTAACATCTTCCCTCACTTGGTGAGTGAATCAACATGTCTTCCCATACATCCTTCGACTTCAGCCTTCCCCACTTTGGTCTGCTCTCTGTATGAAAGCTGAGTGACCTGTAAAATCCAGTGTCAGATCATGTCATTCATGATACCAATGACAACCCCCTCATATCACTTCAGTCAAATTCAAGTTCCTTACAGTGTCCTGGGTGACCTCTTCCTTTGACATTGTAAGCATGCTTCTGCCTTGAGCCCTTGCACCTGCTGTTTTGTGTAGGGATGGACAGGGGTTCTTGACCTTTTTTGTATGGTGGACTCTTTCTGAGTATAAGATCTTTTTATTTTTATTTTTTAGTTGTTGATAGACCTTTATTTTTTTTTTTATTTACACGTGGTGCTGAGAATCGAACCCAGTGCCCCACACATGCTAGGCAAGTATGCTACTGCTGAGCCCCAGCCCCAGCTCCTCTAAGATCTTTAAATCCAGTTTTAAAAAAAGTTCCATAAATTACAAAGAAAACCAATTTTATTGAAATACTACTCTCAAAAATATTTTTAAATGTATAATATAGTAATATATGTGCTTTATTAATTCATTAAATTGGAGCATAATGTTGAGGTAGTGATGAATGTAATATTTTAAGGTATTTTCAACAACTGTAATGTGATATGAAAATATCTGTGATTTTTACTAGCAGCAGTGTCACAGGTGCTGCTAATATCACTGATTTGTTATCTGCATTCATAATTGAAGAACTGCTATGTTTTAATTAGTGAAAATAAAGATGCAATTCTTTTTCTCATAAAAGGTGCTGACCCCCTGAGTTCTACCCATTGACCTCTGGAAGGGAGGGTTCATGGGGTCCAGGTTAAGAAGCCTGGGCTTAGAATGCTCTTATGCTTTCAATGTACCCTTACTCACATATACTGTCCCACACAACTCACTCCTTCTCCTTTTGCTTAAGAATCATATTCCTGGTGAGGTCTCCCCTGACCATTCTACTTAAAATTATACCCTTACTCTCTCCATTCCCCTTTTCTGCTTAATTCTTCCCTACATCACTTAATTATTTTCAAACATATAGATTTTTAATTTATTTATTGCTATTTCCACTAGAAACAGACACTAGGCACTTGTCAAATGGTGACACATTCTAGTGTGGTGTCTGGCATACAGAAGTCACTCAATAAGTACTTGTTGAAAATAAGTAATGATTAAATCTGTATGACCTGTGTCTTCTCATTTTTTTTCCTGCAAAAAGTTAATGAATGATTGGTGAGACTTTTAATAAAGATTAAGGAGTTATAATTATCTTCATCACTATAATTTTATTAACTTCCAATATTAACCTTAAACAGTGGCACAGAGCTGCAGGTTTCTTAGCATTCTGAATAGGCTTCCAGTCCTGTTTTCCAAGGATGCTTTGGGGGCCTGGGTTTCACTCCATGTCAGGAACTATCTCTGATGCAAAGTGCCACTCATAAAACTCTTTCTTGCCAAGGTAGCTAGCAGACTTCCCCAACTCCAATCAAATCAATAATATAATAATACTTTTTATTTCTGGCAACCCTATAGGTCAGCTACCACTTACTAGCTATGTAATTGTTGGTAAGTTACTAAACTTTCTGAAAAGATTTTTTTTTTTTGGTACTGGAGATTGAACTCAAAAACTGAGCCACATCCCCAGCCCTATTTTGTATTTTATTTAGAGACAGGGTCTCATTGAATTGCCCAGTGCCCCGCCATTGCTGAGGCTGGCTTTGAACCCACGATCCTCCTGCCTCAGCCTCCAGAGCTGCTGGAATTACATGCATGCGCCATCGCGCCCGGCAAGATGGGATTTTTGTGGGGATAAAATGGAATGGCCCCCACAGGGTGCAGTATAGAGCAGGTGCTCTTTAAATGATCATCCACAACCTCTTCCACCTCAGCAGGTCACTTTATAACTGCTTGCCAATGCATTTTCCCATTCAAGTTCAGCTCCTGATGGCTAGGAGAAGGGCCGTGTCCTGTCTTCCAAGGCATGTTAACCTCCTGCAACTTGATCCAACCAGAGCAGCCCCCTTTAGGACTGCCTCTATAAATTGATGCCACCACTCTGATCCCCAACCTCCAACATGTGACTGAGACTGTTATCTGGACCTTGACAGTGAAGCCCACCATTTATCACAGTTTCCTTTCCTGACCCTCCTTGTACCCACACTGGGAGTTCCTATACCCGTCCTCATAGAGGGAAAGACAGAAATCATCATCCTGCTGTTTTCAGGTGTGTAGTGCTTTTGAAGAGGGCTTTCACCCTTCCCCAAAATATGTAGGCACAAGGTAAGAGAGGAGAGGGTATGTGTGACAGCTCAGTGGTAGAGCATATGCTTAGCATGTGCAAGGCTCTTGGTTTAATTCAAGCACCAAATACCAACAAACAAAAAGGGGGAAGGGTCAAAGTACTCTGTGCACAATGCATTTGAGTCTGGTTCTGCTTTACCCACACAGCATGTATACATGCATATTTACATATATGTATATATGCACACATGGCCTCAGGAATCTTCCACCACTTCATTATAGGAAGAGGTAAAACAGACCTAGAGAGATGAATTCACTGACCCAGATCACACAGCTTCTCAACTGCAAAGTCAGGAATTGAACCCTCCTAGCCTCCAACACCTGTTTTCAGGCGTTGACCCTGGCCTGGGAAAATCCTACCAACTGACCACTGTGAGCAGGAGCCAGGTCTAACTTTGAGGTGGCACCCAGTCCCCTCTTCTTGCCAGATAAGCTGCCTCATACTTTGTGAATGAAGGCCACAGAAGAGAAATGTTGCAGTGACTCCCTTTGAGCTCATATTTCTTTCTTGTTGCGAAAAGTGCTTATTTCAGCACCCATCATCTCCCTCTTTGTTGTGTAGACAATCCGCCCTGTCGGATTTGAGCTGTTATTATGAGTTTGTTTATTATTAGATTTATTTCTCCTATAAGCAAATGTGTTCACAACAGTCCATGGGGGAATCTTCTTAATTGTCACATAAATGTCATCTTATGTAAATTGAATATTTATGTTTTCATGGAAGTCGGTGGCGGGAAAAGGAAGAATAAACAACCTTCAGTCTTGGAGAGGGAAAGGGATTCACAACTCACCCACATGCCTTCAAAACCAAAAGGTGAGTTGCAAAAATCATTGGATCATCTTGGAGGGGCAGCCAAGAGAGCGGGGGTGGGGTGGGGTGGAGAAAAAGCTGGCAACTATGCCATGGGAATATTGGGCTAGCCTCCCGGATCTCCCCCAAACCGCCAGCCAAGGCCAGACTACTTCGCTGGCTGAGGCATTTCGAGGAGGCTGAAGGTTGCCCCCAACCATCCCCATCCAAGAGACAAGCCCTTCTCCTTCCTAGAGAGAAGGTGAGCGCGGTGAGCGCGGCGGGCGCAGCGGGTTAGGTGGGTGTGGTCCGCAGCTCTGGGAACCGACCCAAGGCCCCGCCACCGCCGGCTAGCCGCCCGACAGCCCGCCCGCCTGGCGAGCGCAGGCTCTTCTTCCAGAAACTGCGAGGATCCAAGCGCACTGTTTGTGCACCACAAGGTCAAGTCGGGAAGTGGAGCCGGCGGAGGAGGGGCGATGAGGCGAAGGGTGGGGAGGGGGGAGCCCCGCTTCTTAGCCAAGTGCCAGCCCTTGGAAGTTGCCCCTCAGTTGTTAACCCTTTAAGGGGAATGGGCGGGACGAGCAAAAGGGAAGGGGTTGCCCCGAGGCAAACTCCTTCTGGACCCAGGACGTGCAATCACCCAACCACCCATCACCGCGTTCTTCACCCTCCGGAAATACGGGGCAGCTCCGGGCGCCTGGAGGCACCCGAGAGGGGGGAGGGGGCGACGAGTCCTAGAGGGACCCTCTCTACGGACCGCCCCTCTTTTCGTGAGGTCGCCTACAATTTCAAGTTTCCCCTGCCCGGGATGTTAGTTTCCATTTGGTGTGGGTGGGCGAGGAAGGCTGCGCCCCCTCCCCCAGACTAGTACGCGCCCCTCCCCTCCGCTCCTGCCAGCACTTTCTGCTCACTTCTGGCGCTGTAAAACGCCACGCGATTTATTCGATTCACATTTTAAAACCAGCGATTCGGAAACGGGGCCGAGGGTGAGGGTCTCCCAGCGCTGGAGTCCCGGGGGGCGGGGTGCTCAGTGCAAACCTCGTTTCCTACGCGAGTGTCGCCTCCAGGCTGTTATTTGCAAAGAAACGTCTTTTTGACGCAGGGAGAAATGGCAAATTTTAAGTACGTCATTAATATGGCGCCAAAAGATTTTTTTTAAGTATAAGCTTGCTATTTTTTTTTTAAGGTTGCGGGGGGCGCCGCCCGGGTCTGGGGCGCGAAGGGGGCGGGGTGTGAGCAGAAAGTGTGAGTGAGAGAGTGGAGGGGCGGGGTATGTGTGTGAGTGTGTGAAGTGTGAGCAGACCTGATGGGACTTGCACGGGCGCAGCCGCCGCTCGGGCCCGGCCCTGGGGACAGGGCGGGCTGGGGGCGCCCCAGAGTGCTTGAGTCGGGGCCCCGCTGCAGGCAGGCCGGGGCCCGGCAGGGCACCCTCCCCCCCTGGGGCCCGCAACACTACCTGGAACCGCCGCGGGAGCCAAACAACTGGGCAAGGGGGGGGGCGGTGACGGGGGGTGTCGGGAGCGGAGATCCGAGTGAATAAGAAAAAAGTGGCTACTCCCCCTCCCTCGCTCCTCCTGCCCGCCCCCACCCCACCCCCACCCCAACACATTTTTTTTTTTCTAAAGAGATCACAAGGAAGTCTTGGTTTAAAAAGAAACAGAAACATACACAGGGGGTTGGTGAATGGTGCCGACCGCGGCCATCGCAGTTGGAGGCTATTTTTTGGGGGGGTGAGTAGCGTCCATGGAGTTACTTTGCTCCCACTCCTAGCGGCACCAGCTCGAGTCTGGCGGGCTAACCGTCCCCAGCAGGAGCGCGGGGCTGGGGACGCCGCGGGCACGGCCGCCTCCCTCGCCACGACCCCGGATGGATGCGCGCCCCCCGCCCTCCCGCGCCGGCCCCAGGAGCTCCTGGTTTCGGGAGCATCCTTCCCGCGCCGGCCCCCGCCGCGGCGCGTAGCCGAGGGCAGCGCCCCTCGGGAGGGCACCGCGGAGCAAGGTAAGATCCAGCCCCCGGTGGCTGGGCCCTGCGCATCTCCACGGCATTATTTTGTGTTTTTGCAACAGATCTGCCAGCGCTCCTCGCTCTCTCTCTTGCTTGCTCGCTCGCTCCCTCTCTCTCTTGCTGGCTGCCTGTTCTAGGAAGCCAGCGCGGGGGGTGGGGGGGATGCACAGCACTAGGGAGAGAGATTGCGCATGTTGGTCAGTCGTTTAAAGAGTACGGTGCGGGGAGGCTGAGAGGGGCGCATGCAACAACAACTTTTGGAAGGGTGAGCCTGGCGACCTTCTTTATTAATGACTGCGGCAAAGCGCCCCTGGGCCGGCGAGGGGGCGCGGGAGGGCGGGGGCGCGCGGAGGTTGCAACTTGCCCCGCGGGCTCCGGCCGGTTGGAGGGGCTGCGGCTGGAGAGGGGAGCGGGGGGAGGCCGAGCGTCCGGGATTGGGGATTCGGAGAACCTGGAGCTATCTGCCCTCCTGAGTTTCATTTTGTTGATACGCAGCACGTCCAGCCGCCGAACCGGGCTGAGCTGGTGCACATGACCCGGCGCTGGGCTCACGTGCAGCCGGTCCGGTCCCAGACACCTTCCGGGGGCCACCGCCTCCGCCCGGCGCCCCCTCTCCGGGCTGGGTGCACGCGGGCGCCGCACGCGGGGGCAGCATGCTCGGCTCCTGGGCTCAGAGGCTCTGCACAAATTAGACAGGTTTTTTTTTTGGAGGGTCGGGGGACACCCTTTACAGGTGAGTGTGGAGGGTGCGCAGCCTTGGCGCCTGGGGCTCGGGCTGGGGTCGGGGACAGGCCCCCCCACCCCCAGGGCTGCGCGGGAGTCCGGCGGGGGAGAAGCGCTGGGAGAGTGGAAATGTACCGGCGGCGGCCGGAGCGGCGGGTGCGCGCCCGCGGGGCGACGGCAGGGGGCGTGGCCCTTGTTTACCTTCTCCCAACTCTGCCGGTTCGCGTCCCGCTCCAGGGACAGCTCCGCAGTCCCCTGCCCTCCGCCTCCGCCCTTAGGCCCTGGGTGATATGGGGAAGGTGCTGACTGGCAGCAGACCCTGGCTGGGATGCACACACCTGACCCCCAAATGAGCGACATTGCAGCCCCCGCCCCCACCGAGCACTGCTGCAGTCCCTCCGCCGGATCCCCGGCCCCGCCCCGCCCCCGGCAGTGGCATCTTCCCGGCCTCACCTCCTTCCTCCCTCTCCCTCCCTCCTTCCCACCCACTCGCCTGCGCCTGCGGAGCGGCTCCCTCCCGCCTTCTCCCCGCCTGGGTGCAGACTTGTGGCTCCCCATGGTCCCTTCCCGCCCATCCCTGGGTCTTGAGGCACCCCTTCTCAGGCCAAGGGATGAGAGGGGGTCAGCTTGGCCATTCGGAGCTGTTCCGCCGGAGGATGAGGATGTCTGTGAGACAGGCAGGAAGCCTTCACTCTAGCTTCCAGAGGCCCAGCCCCCCCCCCAACCCTGTCCCCTACTACACACCGCTGCCCCGCTCTCCCTCCCCAACCCCCACCTCTGGGTCTCTAGTGCCCTACCCGGAGTCTTCTAGACCCCTCCCCCGCCAGGGGCGACAAGCCCACCCACCTCCCGGGTCCGAACCGCCTCTTGCCCTTCCTTCGCCTGGGCTGGAGCACCCCGCAGCTACCTCCGGCTCCTCCTCCAGGCTCCCGCGGTCGGAATCACGCCGGCGCGCCTCCAGCCTGCGGTCCCGCGTACTGCCTCCAGGGGCGGGCTAGAGGCGCGCACAAGCCCCCTTCTAATCCCCTTAGCCACTGCCGCCGGGCCGGGGCACTTTTTTTTACGGGCTTGGCCGCCAACCTCGTGCTGGGGGAGGGGGAGGGGCGCCAGCTTTCTTTTGCCAAAGGCAGTTTGCAACCCGCATCCTTGGTCTCTGCAGATTTCTAAACCACACCCCTGCATATAGCACCCCGGCTGGTCTTTTACGGTTCCAAGGCACAAAGTTTTATCCAGAGGCAGTTTGTAGGGGGTCATCAAGAGGGGTCATGTTTGTATCCAGAGCAGTGCCAAAGGATCTAGAAGGGTCTGAGCCCCTTCATTGAAAGAAAGAGTACCCCTGAGCCCAGATAAACTGGATAATCCCTAAACTTTTATGTTTGCAAATCTAGTCCCCGGCCTTGGGAGGTGGTAGGATCTCCTGGCCCCTCCTTCCAGAGTGGCACTGACTCCCTTTTTCACTGGTAAAATTCCCAGTAGGACATTTGGCAAAAGGGCCAGGCAGAGATCTGCCAACCGGGCCTGGCCCTGTTTCCTGGGTTCCCAGAGTGCTGGGTTCTCCCGTACCCTGACTTCCTTTCTCACCTTAGGGCCCCAAACGAATGCACTATCCCTCTTGTCTTCTTCAGGCGGGTTGGGACTCGCAGGGAGATCTACCAAGCAGAGGAGGAAAATAACAACAGAATAACTGTAAGGGGGGAAGGAATGAGTAATAAAGCTGACCCAGGCAGGGAGGAGGGCTTTCATGTTTAAGCGATGCTATTTGCTTTTTAGGTCACAGGCTGCAAAAACAGGCTTTGATCCGAAGTGGGCGAATAATTTATTGAGAAAGTTAGCATGGTAGGGGGAAAAAAAAGGAAAGCTTGTTTGATCTGGAGCCTTCTCAGTTGTCCCAAGTGCTGCTGGCTGTTGTTTTGAGTGGAAAAGCATTTAGTTCCCCAGCAAATGCCTCTCAGAGGGAACTCCTCACCTCAAGCAGAGAATGTTGGTTTTGCAACTGTTTGACCAAGGGTCTTCCCAGCACTTTTGGAGATGAAGTGTTTAAGGACTGAGTTGTTTGGGCTCTGGATGAAGCAGATGTTTCCAGAATGTTTTCCTATCCAACATGCTTTTCCTTTCCTTAAATTGCCTGGTTAGATGGCCAGTAACATACATGGAAGAGACTGTCGGAAATCCCATCCACTTAGCTCTCATTGACAGGTGATGGAGGGACTGCTGCTTCTCAGGCCCCACATGCACTTTGGAGTCTTGAAGTTAGGCTTCTGACACTGACTGCTACGTCTTTGAGATTGTGGGCAGGGTGTTCTGGTTATAACCATTGTTTCTGTTAATAGGGAGGCGGTTGTCTTTATGCTCATTACCCAGGTCAGAGATTTCCTTGCAGTAGGTTGCTTGGGAACCTGACAGTTTTTTTAATAGATCAGAATTGAGGAGAGGATACCCCTGCCTTACCATGTCCCCCCACTTAGCCCCCCCACCCATGTGGCTCAAAAGCTTACAACTGCAGGTCCCAACTAAAAACTTAGGACCCCAGGGAGGTTGGTCCTGGGACTCTAGATCGTCCTCCTCTCAGTACTAGAGAATAACCCTACCCAAACTCTGCAAATTGGAGATCTATATATTCACATTAACCTTTTGGGGATGGATTATCCCCTCTGGAGTTACACAGCCTAGATTTGAACCCTGGCTGCCCGATCATCTGCTTTGATAATGGTTCTGGGCCTCAGTTCCTTCATCTGCCAATGGGATTGAAACAGTTGAGGATCCCGTTCAAAAAGACTTAAGATGCACAGGCCTGTAATCCCATCAACTCAGCTACTCCCAAGGCTGAGCCACAAGGAGACCAGCCTGGACATTTAGTATGACCCTCAGCAATTTAGTGAGACCCTATCTCAAAATAAAAAAAATAAAAAGAGTTGGAGATGTAGCTCAGTGACAAAGCACTCCTGGGTTCACTCCCCAGTACTAAAAAGAAAAAAGAGGGTGGGGGAGGACTCAGCCCAGAACTGGTAAAGTGCTTGCCTAGCATATGCAAGGCCCCAACACTGGGGAAAAAAAAGTCTAAAACGCAAAGCTAGGCATGTGGTAAGCACTTGATTAGCATTAGCCATTCTTACTGTTATTACTAATGACCTGGGCAGGGTCTCAATGCAGCTTTGACCTGTTCTCTCACCTTTAGGCTAGGCCAGAGAGCCAGCTCCCTTCTCTAAAGAAGAGGTCCGAAGGATCCTGCAGATGCCACTGGGCAACCAGATCCTGGAGCAAAGGAATGGAGCTTTGTCCTTTCTGAGGTGAAGAATAGGGTGAGGAACTACTAAAAGCAAAGTCCCTTTCATTCTTTGGAGGGTGGGTGTAAGCAGCACATTTTAGGGAAGCTGGGTCTCTCTAGGACACTTGGAATTGCAGGTGGGCAGCGATGGTGTTAGAAGATTTGAGCTTCCCTTGCCTTGGAGAAGCAGGGTTGAGGATTGCAGGCAGCAGCTCTCTACCCTGTGTGCACAAAATCATTTTTGTAACTGCAATTTACTGTCCCCTAGAAGGCATTAAAGTTAATGAGAGATAGGAAAGAGTGGGGCTCTGACCCCCGTTTCAAGCGGTTTTAAAAGTGTGCAGCTCTTGTTTTCTGAATGTCTGGCCTTCCCGACACAAGGAGGCTCTGAGGACAGGTTTTCCAGCGGAAATATCATTAAATTGTATTAGCATCTTATTACACACACGCCTTAGCGGTCTGCCTCAGACAGGGAGAGTTTTTGTTTCTCTTTGAAAGATTGTGTCTGGAATGGTAAACTGCCTGCTTGAAAGCCCTTTCCCCCTTTTTTTAAGGAGGAGGACGAAATCCTGCTGTGTGTGGTGGCGGGCAGGGCAGGCCTAGTGGCCCCTGGAGAGGAGAGGCCGGAGGCCAGATTGGGGTGTTTTAACTGCCCAGGGAGGACTGCAGTAGCAGACCTGAAAGGCCCACTGTTCCCAGGGTCAGCTGGAAGGGCGTTAATGGAGGCCCAGGGTGTTTATTTGAGTTTATTTGCGGAGAAGTCTTTAAAGGGGGCTGGCATTGGGTGGTGGTGTTCCAAGGCCAGACCTGAGGCCCCCACTAAGACCAATAGCTAGGGCTGCCAAGAAAACATCTGCCACCAAATTGCTGCTCTATTACTGAGTTGACATTGATCATTAGCCAGGAGCCCAACCAAATAAAGCCTCGTGGAAAATGTGTGAGGTCAAGACAGGGAAGGCAGGCTGTGAAAATAGGACGGAATCTTGGGCTGGGGTGTTTGTTCCTGCAAGACACAGGCAGGCCAGCTGGGCTGTGTAGTTCCGACACTTCCGAAGGGGACTAGAGCACACTCAGCACTCCCTATGATGAACTGGTTGCCGTGTGATGGGGTTGCTGGGGCTCCTGCAGGGATCTAGACAGACATGCTCCTTACACACTCACAAGGAGGACAGCCAACAAGTAGCTCAGCCAACACAACTGTGATGGTTGCCCTGGAGACCTTGAGTGACTACATGGTCAAGTTCTTTAGATAGGGTGACACAGGTGATGCTTAAACCCAAACCTGGAGAGTAAAGAGTCAGACGTGCGTAGACCATATGAAACATTCCAGACAGAGGGTACAGCTTGTGCCAGGTCTCGAAGCCTGGAATCTTTGGCTTGTTCGAGGAAATGAAAAGAGGCCCATGTGGCTATAAAGTGCTGAGGAAGGGGATCATGGTCAGTGTGAACTTGTCAAAGTGGGCAGGAGCCAGATTGCGTAGGCTCTTGTGGTCAGGAGCTTGCAAATGGTCCTTTGATCAGGAGGAAGCCTTTGAAAGATTTTCAGTAGGGGCATGCTGTGATCTGATTCATGCTTTTTAAAGATCACTCTGGCTGCTGTGTGGAGTTCTGGATTATGGGGGGACAGTGGTGAAAGCTAGGGAATGAGCAAGAGGTCCAGGCAAGACTCAAGATGGGTTTAGATGGGAGTGGTAATAATAAAGGTGGGAAAAAGTGTATTCTGGGGGCGAGCCCATGGTTCCTGCCAGGGTTTGGCTGTGGGGTGGAAGATGCACAGAGAGACCGGGCCCCTTTGAAGGTGCTCTAGGGCACACACAGTCCTGAAGGACAGCTTCCAGCCTGTGTCACTTTTGGGGGTACTGTAGGAGTTGTGAATGGCAGGGAAAGGAGATGCTTCTTTTCTAGACTGTCCTTTATAGATTAGGTTTCATGTTTTGCCCCTAAAAAGTAAGTGCCTTGTGATATTGAGGTCATCTCCCAGAGCAGACTTTGCTCTTGGGAGAGGCTGGAGGGACCAATAGAAAGAGAAAACCAAAGGCCAACGTGAAGGCACTTCCACATCCTACTTGCTTTTGCATCTTCAGGTTTGAGCTTTGGAAATGGAGTCCTCTCGGCCCCTTTTGTTGAGATAAAGGAGAGGGTGATTTGTGGGGCTGGCTCGCAGGGGCCCTGACTCATTTGAGGCTTTGCTAGGCACTGTGACCGGGGGCTCACTTGAGGCAGGGAGGCCTTTGGCATGGACTTAGTTCAAAGGAAAGAAGCTTTACTCACAAAACAGGGAACTCTGAAGCCTAGTTATTATTCCAATTAAGCTACCACAAAATCTGTTCCCTAATAACTGCCTCCAGTGGGGCAGCCCCGACCAGGAGAATAATCCCTAGATGCTCTTCAGATGTTCTTATGAAGGACAGGTTAGATGGGGAGGTGGCTTAGATGAGGTGTGGGTCTACCTGCCTGTTGGTCCTTGGGCAGTAGGACATAGCATTATGAGACAGGTGTGGGCAATCAGAGAAGTCTGCCGGGGGCCCCTTCATAATATATAGTGTCATTGCTCTTTCTGTTCAAGGGGGTCCCAGGTGGTCACTGGCAGGATTCTCCACCCTAGTCTAAGGCTACCATGGTATTAATATCTAGCATCTGCATGGAGCTCCAGCCCCACTGTACCAAGGGCTGTACTTTGCTCTCATTTTGCCTCGCTAACTGATTCTGGCCCATGAATGTGTTTAGTTTGGCCCTCTCAAAGTGTTTTAAAAATTTAAAATGTTGCCAACATTTAAATTCAGGAGATCTTTGTGAAAATCTAGATCCAGTTTACCTCCTAGAAATTATGTCTTTGCCAAAGTTCCTGGCCTGAGGAGTGATACGGCTAGGATTTTAATTCAGCACCCCTGAATCCACAGTTCCTGCTCCCCACACCATGGGCCTAGGGATGGAGCCCAGCGTCTTAACACATGCTAAGCATAGGCTGTACCATTGAGCAATACCTTGAACCCCCACAGCTTCGGCTTTTTTTAATGCTGTAGGAGCCCCTGGTTTGGAGCTACTACTCTCTTTGCTAAAAACAAAAGAAATGGAATTCCTGCACAGGATTGCAGGAGGATTCAGGTGGATGCATTTATAGCACTTTCCCTCTTCTACCCCACCAGTGGCAGGGCTGGGCCTGGCTGGACAAGATGTGGACTAGCATCTGGGTTCTGTCAAAGTCACCTTTACACTCTTGACACAGACCCTGGAGGACATGGAGGGTCGCAGCTGTGGTTGCTTGGCTGCTTGCTCTCTGCTGCATAGAGGCGAAGAAGTCTGAAGGTCACAATAGCTTGGTCTCCTGTGTCAAATACACGCACTGTCTTCTTGACCAAGTCACCCCATCTCTGTGCTTCTGTTTCCTCATCTGTAAAAGCAAGACAGTCATCATATTCACCTGCAATTAAGGGCTCTTTGGAGTGCTCAGTAAGGTCCCACCAGAGCATTCTCTCCTGCCCCAAGAAGTGCTTAGCGGCCTTGTCGTTGCTACCTCCTGCATCCCTGCTGCTTGCACTACCAGCTATCCCTGGGTCCCTCACCTTCTGGAGAACACTTTGCACCTTTGGAGCTGAGCAGCAAGTAGCAATTTGAGCCTTCCTGCCATTCTGTTGAAGGACACCTCTCTCCACAGAGGTGGAGAGAAGCTCCTAGCTAAGGTCATGTACGAGGGAAAAGGGTCATTCTGGTACAGAGATCTGGGTAGTCACCTACTAAGTAAATGGTCCCTGTCTTTGTAGGACTGCAGTAAGAAGGGGGCACCCCTGGGCTTAGTAGGATCACTAGGGTTAGGGCAGTGGGTCATCCGTTACAGATAGGTCCCCAGGAAGGGGTAGAGAGGCTAATTGGCTTACAGATAGGCTGGGCCACAGGCCATGCTTCCTGAAGACAAAGACTCCCTCCCTGTCTTTGGCTGTGAGCAATGAGGCCATTTATAACTAACAGGAGTATGGCAGGGTGGAACGTGAAGCTGGATCCTGCGCTTCATGTGAAGACTTGGGCCGCGGAGCATTAGTGACACCCTGAGCAGGTTATCAAGCCACCCAGGGCTCTGCGGGATTAAGAGGAAGAAGTGGATGAGAAAAGGTTTCCAATAAGCAGAATTGATGGTTTGCACATGGATAGCTCACGTGGCTCCAGGATCAGACCTGTATTCAAATCTCAGTTCAGCCAGTTACCAGCAGGCAAGATGCTGAGCCTCGCCTGCAAACAGAGCTAAGAACTCTAAAGCTCAGTAGATTGTCAAGAGCACAAGATATTGTAGATAAGGGCAACCCTGAGGCCTGTGTGCAAGAGCTGCCCTTGGTATCTTGAAGTTAGGTATTCCTATTAAGATAAAGTGAGTCTATTTTTAATCTGGGGAGGACAGTGAGGTATAGGAGAGTTGGGCAGTCCCACCCAGGGCCAGTCACGGTTGGTCTGTATCTCAGGGTCCTACTACCCCCATCCTGTTTCCTCATCCTGCTGGCTGCCACTCTCAGGATTGTGCCCTCAGTGCTGGCTTGTGCCTTGCTTAGATAGCTGGTGTTCATGAAAGAATCAGTCTTGCTTCCTCTCCTCTATCTCCTCACCCCCTGTGGGATTGCCAGAGACACTCAGGAGGCCTCTGTGGTGTGCGTGGGTTTTCTGATGGGCTTGAGTTTCATTGAGTGGATGCTGGGACTGGACAGGTTATGGTCACTGTTCAGTTTGGAGCTGCTGACCCTTTTAGTTCTCCCTCTGTCCTCTTTGGCCAGACTTCTGATCGTCCCAGCTGCTGGGCCTCTACAGATGGGTAGGGATAGGTTGAGGCTGGCTGAGAAGGACACTAGGAAGGGCTGAGCCTCATTCTCCTTCCTCTGCATGGAAGGGAGTGTGGGGAGGTAGAGAATGGGGTGGTTAACTAAAAGGTTTGAGGATTTTCCAAATCTTGCGTGAATATAATGATCTGACTTCCTTTTGTTGCAGATGGAAGAGAAGAGGCGAAAATACTCCATCAGCAGCGACAACTCGGACACTAGTGACAGTAAGGCCTTCCATTTCACAACTCCTATAGGGGAAGAATTTGAATGATGATCAGGCCCACAGGCCCGGGTGGAAGGAGTCCACCTCGTGGTCTCAGCTCAATCCAGGGCATGTTGATGAAAGCATAAATCAAGTCAGATCCCTTTGCTCCTGAGATAGTCCCTGCACCTTACTGTGGCCTCCAGGGCCCCCTGTCTCCTTCATGCTACCCGCCTCCTCCTCAGGTCTTACCTTCACTTGTTTTGCTGTGGTTGGAGCAGATCAACTCCCTTTGAGGCCTTTGCATTTGCTACTTCTGACTGCTAGAAGAAAAAGTTCCTCTGTTTGCCCTTGCTGTGGTATCAGGGCCCTTTTAGGAAGTCCCTGCCTCACAGATAGAAAACCTGTCACTCTTCATTATAATTATCAGATAAGTATCATTTTCTAACCAGAGATAAAAGGGCCTGTTTCTTGCTCAGTGCTGTATCCCCAATTCTAACTCCCCAGATTCTAATTCTGGCATATAGTAGGTGCTTAGTAAACATTGGCTAAAGAAATTAATGAAAAAACCCAACTTTCATGGGATCTTGGCAATAGAATTGCAGGCTTATGCTCAGGGTGGGTGTCATTTGGGTGTCTTGGTGGGGCAGTTGTGTTGTGAAGGAGATAATGGGGTTTAAAGAGCCTCCTCTGAAGTTTGGAGCAGAGAAGGGAAGGAGGTTCATGCCAGGGCAGAGCCGTTCTCCAGTCTGAGGTCATGGGCTGCTCCTCTCAGATAACCCAGGAAGCCAGGCACTGCCTCCTGGAGTAAGGAGTTCCATCTACCATGGGTTGGAGGGATACACTCACAAGAAGATCCCACCTAGCAGCTGTCACCTTGGTGGAGGCCCAGGCTAAGAAAGAGGCCATACTGGCAGGGTGGCCAGGCCTGATGCTCTTTACCTCTAGACCTGATTTCTCATGCAAACCTTTGTGGTTAGCAAATAGATTAATGGAATCTTCAAGGCCCCTCCTAGTTCCCAAAGCTCCACAGCCCCCAAGAGCCCAAGGATAGATGCACTAGGATGGTCATTCAGGTTCCAGTCCCTTTCCAGTGTGCAGGGTCTCATTCACTGTCCTTTGGGCTTGACCCTTGTTTCAAGCTGGCCCATCCCCCTATGCAGCAGATTATAGCATCTGCCCTTCTGTGGCTGCAACACACTACTGTGGCCTGGCTCAGTAGAACCAAGAACCACGTCCTCTGCTTCTACCTTTGGTGTAGGCAGAGGAACCCTTTGAGAGGGCCAGGCACCTGCAAGGGCAGGCATCTGGACAGCTGAGCCCTGTAGCTGCACCAGGGTTGGCCAGGCCTGGGGTTAAATGCTTCCCCACCAGCTCCTGTGCCCACTGTGGTTGGCTGTTTCTGTTCAACCAAAGCATTGGGTCTCTCTGGCCCCTCTTGTTGCTCTTCTGACTCACAGGGGTGGAGACCACAGTGCTATAGTTTAACAAGGACCTTAGACCCTAATAGTAATTAGAGTCCCATGTTTATCACTGTGTGCTAGGGACTGTGCTAAGACTTCAAAGGCAAATCAGTCAACCCTGAAAGACAGTTCATCTCAGACCCCTGTGTTAGCTTCACCTCACTATTAGAAGTACTTGACGTAATTAACTTCTAGAAGGAAAGGTTTATTTAGCTTACAGTTTTGGAGATTTCAGTCCAAGATTGATTGGCCCCAGTGACCTAAGGCTCTCCCATGAGGCACCATCTAATAGTCCTAATAGTGCCATCCTGGGGACCAAATCATTTGTCCATGGAGATAAGCTATTAAGAGGCTGTATCAGGTATCAAGCCTCATGGTCTCTGGGTCTGACCACTTCAGAGGATCACTGCTTCCTGCTGCCCTGCCCTACTCCGAAGACACCTGGGCATCTTCCCAGAGTAGCATCATGTTCCTACCAGCCAGAGAGAGCACAAAAGGCTTGTTCCAACACTCCTTGACTGAGGAGGAAGCACTGTCCCAAAGAGGCAGGGACTTGTCTGGGGTCACAGGAGAAGCTAGCACAGAGCCCCTTATGGGAGGTGACTGGTGGAGGGCTTATGTCCCCATTCAACAGTGGAAAGGCTGAGGCCCAGAGCAGGGACAGAGGTCCCCCTCTGATAATTTAACCCAGAGCTTTCCTTGTGGGCTTCCTGTCAGGCAGGTGGTGTTCCTGGCCCTCTGGGGCTGGTCTCTCTCATGGGCTATTCTTTCTCTGCAGGTCACGCTACATCTACATCAGCATCAAGATGCTCCAAACTACCCAGCAGCACCAAGTCGGGCTGGCCCCGGCAAAACGAAAAGAAGCCCTCAGAGGTGGGTTGTGGCAAGCTTCCCAGAGAAAGGTGAAGCTGAGGTGGGGAGGTGACTGGAGACCGAGACCTGTGGGGAGTGAGAGAGTGAACCATGCCTATGTGGCCGGGGAGGGGAGGGGGGCATTCCTGGCACAGGGCCCTGAGCATTCTGCAAAGGGAGGCGAGTGTGACTGGGTGGAATGAATGAGGGGGCCAGTTTACCTACGCCTCCTAGGTTGTTGTAAAGCTGTTCCTGTTGATCTGAGAGGGAAGCCTTTCAAGGATCATAAACAGGATTATAACATAGCCTGATGTTTTAATAAAAGGTCCCAGTGGCTGCTGTGAAAGGAAACCATTTGCAGTTGTTCAGGAGAGAAAGGAATACTGGTGGCTTAGAGCTGGGTTGTGGCAGTGGAGTAAAAAGCAAGAGGATTTGGGACATTTTGGAGGTCAAGCCAAGGGACATAGATTTTGCTGGTGTGGAGCCATCTACCTAGGATCATTTCACATGCACCTGCACTTGCCTTCCTTGCTCTGACCTGGGAAGTTTCCCACAGAAAGTTGAAGTAGTGTGAACACTACCTTTTTGTGGGGATTTGTGGGAATTGGAACCAGGACGCTCTACTCACTGAGCTACATCCTTAGCCCTTTTAGTTTGAGACAGGGTCCCTCTAAGCTGAGGTGGGGAGGTGACTGGGCTGGATTCCTGAGAATTCTATTTTAGATAAAGGAAAATAAGATTCCCCTGGTCACAGGGAGGAGACTTGAAGACTTCAGGGCTAACAGTACCAAGGGTGGGAAGGCCCAGAGTTCTGTCACTGTGCCCTTTGTTTGGTGTGGGGGAAGGTGTCTTTCCAAGCCATCCTTTCTCCTCTCCTTTCCCCCACTACGGGGCAAGCCAGCCCCTGGAGGGGTCTCCCACAGAGGCTTCCCTTTGAAAAAGGACTCCGCCTCCCGGAACTGCCTTACCCTAGGGTTCTTCCCTTGGGCAGTGGGGTCCGAATACTTTGAAACCTTTTCTCCAGCCACCCCAATCTGGTGGCCTTCCATGGCCCTGTGGGTGTTGGGGTGGAGATGGATGGAGATATCTCTGGGAATGCTGTTTAGGAGGGGAAAGTTGCTGGGGTTTATGCAGGATGGGAGGTTGGAATGTGCTTACATGCAGCCAGGGGAGCCAAAGGCAGGTGGGGCCTTGGGAGGGTCCTGCCTCCTGGGGTTGTAGGAGATCTCCCCGCAGTCTCAAGATCCACTGTGGCTCCCCAGTTGCTAAGGAAGAATTAGCAAAATAGTGGCCATCTCTATGTGCCTTCTTGATTCTGGGAGGCAGGAAACGTCATGCCCGTTTTGGACTGGAGAACCTGCTTTTCTGAGAATCCTCTTAGTTACTGTTCTTAATAGCCCTGGTCGAAGTGGGGTGGGGGACCCCTGGGGCGGGCTCATTTGATTCCTGGATAAGCTCCAGCCAGTCTCTTCCCTTGCCCCGCCCCCTCCAGGCACTGGTGGGTGGAGGAGCTGCCTCCCTGTGGCAGGCCTGCCACCTACACCAGGATCTGGCATGGCTGGGAGGAAACAGGTGTTACTGAAGGCTGAGAATAAAGAACAATTTGCATGGGGCAGAAAATTCCCCTGCCTCTTGGGTTTTCCAGTCTAGAATCTTTGTATCTAAAAATAGAGTAGAACCATGATAAGGGCCCTGCTAGAGACTGGCTACACGTAGGCCCAAGTCCCAGACCAGGAGCCTCTGTAGGTGGCCCGGATTTCTGCTGGGATGCACCTCCCCCTTTCAAGCCCCAGGCTCCTGGAGGGCTGAGGAGTCCTCCTGGCCTTGAACTGTGGCCAAGGACAAGCTTTCCCTCCCCACAGAAGGCTGGAGAGCAGCCTTTGAGGTTTTCCTTGTCTCTAAGTGAGAAGGTTGAGTTGTGCCCAGCATAAATTCTGCAAGACAGAGAAGGAACCATCAATGAAAGCTTCCAGATTATTTGGCTCATGAGAAGGCAGAGAGGAAAGCAGGACTTGGCTGCAGAGTATTTGCACTAAATCTGCTCACTGGGCTGCTTCTTTCTCTTAATGGGCCACAAGGGGAAGGCCTCTATGGTCTTCCCAGCCTGCAGGGTGTTTTGGGAGCCCCGACTGCCCAATGCCTACGGGGCAGCTGTCAAGCTGGTCACACTGTGTGCTCACAGTTAGGCTTAAGTTCCTATTGGGAACACTTGCAGAGTCACGAGTGTGGTATAGAAACTGGTTGCAGAGCTGTGGAAGTCTCCATTCACTTGGTCTCCTCGTCTCTTAAATCTGGACAGTGATGGGGGGATTTGAGGACTCCAGTCTTAGATTTGCACTAGCTGTGGGTACATAGTAAACTCAGCTGCTGTGAAGTGGCTGAGATTGGGTTTAGATGAGACAGGGTGCTCTATGATGATATCAGAGGCTGCCCTTTCCATTGCTCCCACCACCACCACCAAGGGTAAAGGTCCTCCTAACACCCAGCAAGGTGCCCCAGGACTGAAGGAAGGGCTGACCAGGAGTCAGGACCCTGGACAGGGCTGAGGCCATGAGGCCCAGCTTCCCATCTGGCCCTTACCCAATGGGTGGTCTCTCCCTCAGCCGGAAGGAAAGGGGAATGCAGACCTTGGTAAGGATGCCTGAAAGAAAGGGCCCTGCGCTACCTGGGAAGTTGGGTTAGGATTATTGGTGGAAGCTCACAAAGTCTGAAGTCTGCCCCAGGACCCTCTTGTGCTTTGAAAAAAAGGGGTGTGTGTGTATGCTGAACCAGAAGGTTCAGCCTGCAGCTTGCTCTGTTTTGCTTGTCTGTGGAATGCCATCGTAACAGAGATCTGGACCTTGGCCCTTGGCGCTTAAATCCTGAAGGAGGGAAAGGGATTGACCTGGCCTAGGGGCTGGTTTTATTGTGTAAATTCTGCTAAAACCTTGGGTTTCTGGCCAGGCCTGTCTCACCAAATAAGGTAGTCATTGTTGGTGCCTAATCCTTTGTGGGATGCAGCATCTCAAGGAATTGCATATTATTCTTTTTTTTTTTTTTACATTAATTCTCAATATATACAAGTCTTTTTTTTTTTTTTATTAGTTGCTCAAGACAATACAATGATCTTGACATATCATACATAAACACGAAAACCAGACCTCCTTCCAACTTTTTGCCTAGGTAATTCTAATTTAAATAGTCTGGGGTGGGGCCCCAGGTACGCATGCTTTTGTTTAAAAAAACAAAAAACCCTGCTGTGAGCCACAGTGAGCACTCCAGTCTTAAACTTTCCCCTCATTTGCCTAAGACAGGAGTTCCTGGCTTCTTCCCAAGAAGCTTCTGGGGGCAGGGGCCGAAAGCCCCGCCCCCTTTCTTTCCACAGGTGCTAGGGGGATTGACTGGTTTCTGCCCTGCCTGAGGCGAGCCAGGACTGTGAAGGACAGTTCTTGAAGAGACCTGGAGGCCAGCCCTGCGGTTTATGTCTTCCCCAGGCCTTGGGCGGAGAAGCAGGCAGAAGGGCAAGCCAGACAGTGGGGATTTCCCCTCCTGAGGTAGAAAACTGTGTGTTCAGGAAACCAGTGTCCCCAGAAAGTCATCTGGTGGGCAGAGACATGGAACTGGGAACTGCCGATGCTAAGATCAGCAAGCTGGGGAGTGCCTAAGAGGCCTAGCTCAGTGTGCGGCCCTGTGCCAGAGACACAGAAAGCACAGCTCCTGTCCCTGGGGAGCTTGTCCTCTGGCTGCCTGCAGGATGCAGGTGCTGTACGGGAAAGTGTCGGTTAGAGGTGGTGCAGCTGGCTTTGCCAAAAGGCTCCTGCTTGGCCACTGGGGAACACTGTGACCCTTGTCAAGTGACTGTTTGTCTCTAGCCTGAGGATTGGTGTTTGTAGATCTAGGAGTCTAACAAACCTGTCCTGCCATGGAATTTCTGTTGTGCTGATATGACTGTCTTTTCTGGGACCCATGGAGCCTGGGAGCAGGGGAGGTCCCAGAGGTGAATGGGGCCAGGGGTTGGAGGTATAAGATGAAGTAAGGCTTGGGGTCCAACTGTCAGCTCTTTTGTAGGCCCTGGTGACAAATTAGTATGTCCCTGGAGGGAACAAGTGGGATCTTTACCTGTTCCACATTGGCTCTTCTCTGACGCCCAGCTCCTTGTCCTCAGGGACAGGGACTGGGAGAGAGGTGAAACAGCCTCTGCTACCACTAAAGGGGTGTCCCTGAGACCTGGTGTCCCCGAGACCTAGTGTCCTCCAAAGCTCCTATATAAGAACATCCCTCCAAAATATGTTGGTCTCATGCTTGATTCATTCTTTTAAAGATAAGACTTACCCCAGGAGAGGGGTGAAGGTGGGGGTGGCTAGATTGTCTTGGGGCTCAGAAGCACAGGAATAAATAAGAAGCATTCTTAGAGGAACAGAGGTGTTACCCAGATGTTTGTATTAAAGCATGGATGGCCTGTGTTTTAGTGATATGCAGAATGTCCACAAACTTGAGAGAGAAAACAAGAGAATTCCCCCAAAGCCCCTGTGGCTTTGAGTCACATTTGTAGTCCACCAGCTGCTGCTCCTTTGTGACCCTGACCTTGCGGGATAGGCAGCTCTTTCTGCTGGGCCAAGCACTTGCTTTCTGAGTTTCAACTCTGGAGTGGGGGAGCGGAATCCACTTCTAGTGTAGTCAGGAACATTGTTTGCTCCCGCCAGCTGGAAAGGCCTCCTGGCCTCTGGGACTTGTCTTGCAAAAGAAATGTGCGTAATAAATTCTCTTTAAGAGCAGGAAGTGCTGTTATCCTCATGAAAATAAGAGAATGAGATGTTGAGTGGGTTTTTTTTTTTTCCTTCTTTTTTTTAAATGCATCTGACTGACTTAGCCTAGTGGTAGCTTGAAACATGACTGGACAAAGGGTGGCTATTCCCAGAGCCTTCCTCTGGTATTTCATACCTAATTTTAAGTGTAGGTTTACTCTTGGCTGAGATACCCTTTATCAGATAAACTCTCTGGCTGGCTTGTAGGCAGTAAGTACTGCTGTGGTTAAAGGACAG